TCTTAAATTGGCATAAAAGAAACGGAGTGACGATGGATTTACGTTAAGGTTTTCATATTTAATTGTTAGATGGTGATTAATTTTCTCATTACGTTCTGGTATTAGTTTTTTGACTGTTGCGTTATAATCTTTGGAAATATAATATAAATCACTTTAATTATTAACGCTACTAAAACACATTATACTAAAAAAAAAACTAGTTATCTAGTTATGTTTTTATAGTAATAAAGTACAAAAAAACGTCCAATTTTGCGTCATTACCTTATGGGTAAGTAATGAATAAGATGTCTTAAGAGTAAGTTGTAATTTGACCTCTACAGTGACCTTTACCTAAACCCTGCATCCATCAGGTGCTGTCCATCAGCATTTTGCTGGTGGCGGCCGCGGCGGCCTTCGTGATCGACAACACGGGCGAGCCCATCTCCGGCCTCATCTTCTTCTACATCTTCCTCACCACCGCCATGGTCTTCGGCGTCGTCTCCTCCTACTTTGTTGACCTTTATCCTACATCATACAGGTAAACAACAATCTTCTATATCAATTCTTTTTCATTATAATATACAGGGTGTTTCTTAACGGACTTTTGTGGAGATAGATGACCTCAATAGGTACCGTTTAAGCGCAGTGTTGCCCGACTTTTATATAGTATTGAAGTTAAAAAAAAATCGTAAAAATAAGATTCGACTAAAATTTGCCCATACGTCCAAAATAATGTGTTTATAGCGGTCATTTTTATCTTGAGCAAACCTAATAATTTGGCTTTCGTACTGACATCCCTTTGATTTCTGATCCGCTATTGAAAATTTTCTTAAAATTTAGAAACATTTGTTTCGTTTTCTAAAGAGATTTAATGAAAAATTCACAAACAAGTCACTTTTGGGTAATTTACACTAATTTTGAGTTTATAGGAATCTTATAGTATTTCGCCTGTAATTCCATCCGCGTTTAATTAAATTAAAAGCAAAATAGTCTGTGTTCTTTCAGACTATCCTCACCTCTTTCAGACATCTATGACAAATATCATCGATTCTGTTTAGGCTAAAAACTCTTACAAACATACTTGTAAACTTTCGCATTTATAATATTACTAATATCCCTGTCAGAGGTATGGTGGCGTGCTTGGGCATGATGGTGGCGCGGCTGAGCGCCTTCGCCGGCACCAACCTCGTCAGCAGCAACATGACTGAGCACTGCTCCCTCGCCATCTACAGCATCGCCGGCCTCGTCATCAGTAAGTCATCATCGTCATCACCAGCTCACTATAGCCCCCACCTCGCCCTCATCTCGCCCTCATCTCGCACCCATCTCGCCCCCACCTAGCCCCAGCCTACCGTAAGTTAGGGTATCTAGGCCTTAGTTAACCACGCTGGCTGTTTGGATGGCTGGCTGGATGTTTTCCTTCACCGTAAGAACGTCGGGTTAATTATGTACATGTTACTCAACACATTATATGTTAATCATTAAATAAATCCATTACAACTTCCTGTTTTTACAAGCTGTATAAATGGAATCCTTTTTTACTTGTATGGGAATTTAAAAACTATAAAAACAACTGTTTATGTGATTTCATGTTATTGTGTGAGTGGTTTTAAGGTTGAAACATTGAATAATATTTTTTTAACACAAAACCTTAATGACTAATAAATTAAGTACAAACGTGGGAAAACATAGTGTTATCTTCTCGTTATGTCTCTTATATACAAATTAGACATACTAACTTCCGACCGCGACTTCGCGGGGAATTTAAAAATATTAAACAGCCTACGTGGTCGTCCAGACTATGTTTTACATCTGCCGAATTTAAGTAATCCATTTAATATTAGTGTAGAGTTGGTAAGATAAAATAAACAGTCTTCTTAAAACTATATTTCTCACCCTTATCCCCAGTTTTACAAGATATAATTTTTTACTTAATTTATTCGTTTTAGAAAACGTACGGCTCTCTTTTCGCGTCTTTTTCGTCTATTTCTTCCTACATTCACTTCAGTCTCTCACACGTCAGTCAAATCACTCACTCATCTTCGTTCGGAAACACACACAACACATCCCACATTAGTATAGTATAAAGTATGATTATTATAAAAGATATTTCAATATATCGAAATACAATTTTTGATACATGTTTTATAAAAATGGAAACGCAAAATATATTATTTCGGTAAGCATTTCATTGCTACGAGTACTTGACAATGATACTGATAAATTGTGTATTTCTCTTTAACCTTGTGTGTCGCCGCGGAGAGAGGCAGCTTCCCCTAGGTCTAGTCTAGATCATCGTGTGGTGACGCGCGTGTCTAACAATGTACTCTCCCAAGCCACAATCAAACAAAAGGCACAAAAAAAAATCTCTATCTCACGATCTTATCTAAACATTTTTATTTTACAACGTTGTATTTCAACTTTTTGGTTACCGACGCAATTATTATTTTTTTCTATGATCTCGAAATGTTTCAAGTTTTAAAATCCAGACACGGTCAATATTTGTAATAAAAATAAGATTTGTAAAAAAAATAGGGCTCATTCACACGAGGATGAGAGTTCTTTTTGACGAATTTCTTTTCACGATTCGGTTTTTGTATCGGTGGCAATGCTTTTTAAATAAATGTTGTAAATAAAAAAAGTATTTAACGACACGTCGACATTTGAAGCTGA